TATAATGACATGTTTACGTATACACGCTTTTTCCATAATTCGTAATAAAAAAAAGAAATAAAAGGGAGCGGAATATTATATTAAAAAGATTAGTAATTCCAATATACATTTTGTATATTTATGTAATATAATATTTTAATATGAAATACTATAGGATTAATCTCTTTAAATTATAAATAAAAACGCAAACATTTGATAATAATATATTATTATATATTTATTATAATAATAAAATTTAACGATACACAATAATTTATAATCTAATAATTAATAATATAAAATCGACTATTTCATGATATAATAATAAAATTTATAAATTCTATAAATATTGAATTTAATCTATAAACAATATGGATTTATTTTAAATTTATTATATATTTGCGAAAATTATTTTGGCTATATTGCAAAACGAACTTTTTCAAGCACACATGCATTTAAAAAAAAACACGCATAAATCATCTCATTCACTCTCCCGTTCGTACGCATTATTGAAGAAATTAAAAATATATTTATTCCAAATATTATATTTCCGAACTCTGCTTCCTCTTCTTTGTTTTTTTTCTCCAAATTTTCTCCCTCAAGAAAGGCGTCGGCATATCCTCCATACGCCGATAGATACCTGCCCGAAGGGAGATAAGAAGAGGGTCGAGAAAGAACGTTCAATGACTGAACCATGATCAAAGATAATTTCCGATCAAAGATTAAGGATTACTCCCGTGAGCCGCGCGGCCCGTCTAGGAATCAAAGTCTGCCGAAATATAAAATGCATGAAGCGAGAATCCCAGGGGTGCGCAGCACGTGAAGCTCCCCCCTTGTCTCTGTCTTTCTCTCTCTCTGTCTCTCTCTGTTTATACGTGTATACGAATGAATATATGTTCAGAAGCGAACAACTCCCACCCACTTTATTCCACTTAAAGGCAGATGACGCACGATCGTTGCACACGCACATACACTTGCCTTGTGCATATTATATAGTAACAATAAAATAGTAAAAAGGTGAGGAAATATATACGAAAATACTACAAAAGATATTTCTTGAATTACGCATTACCAAAAAGATGCTTGTAATGCATCGTATGTCTTCCTCTGTACTCTCTTTTCCAGCAATTTCAATAAAGTTTTTAACAAAATATATGCGAACGTAGCTTTTAAACTGTAAATTAAAAGAATCTATTCTTGTAAAATAAATTTCGAGAAATAAACTACAAATAAATAACAACATTTTATTCTTTTTCTTCAAACTTTAATGAGACTTCAATTTGAACAACACTTTTACCACGTTATAAAAACGTAGTTATAAAATATAGTTACGTAAACATGTTAAAAATTATAATGTATATAAATATTTCGGACATGAATGTCCGTATATCATATCGAATCTCTAAACGATTTGAGGAATAGTTTTTTTCTCCTTTGTTAAACGTACCGTAATCATGATTATCTACGCTGCATAGAGGGATGAGCGCCTTTTACGGAGCCGAACAATTGGCCGAAATGTATGGAAATCTTTCGTATTTTCGACACGTATAAGCACAGGCCTCGTGCTTCGGACATTAGATATTAGATTTAGCACCCTTACAACTGTCGCCGTACATAATTAGGGGTGGCTTCCCCTATCGAAACAGATGGCAACCCTTAGGCTACGAGATAATTTCGCGGAGAACAGTTGGGAAAGAGACCATGGCCCCTGGTGTAGAACAGAAAGACAGCAAGGAGAAAAAGTGTATAAGGAAAGAGAAAGGGAAGAGCAGACAAATGCCGGCTAAGAATAGAAGATTCCGCACACCGACGATAAGTTCGACGAACGGGAAACGCGCGCGAAAAAAAGGCCAATATACGACTCGACAATCGTTATCAAATTTCTTCAATAAATTCATTGAAATTAGATAAGCGCGCGCGGGGCAACGGCGCGCGGCGGCAGCGGCGGAATGGATATCGGGCTCGTACACCAAGTACGTATTAAACGTAACGGCGGCGAGGCAATCGGCAGTAACCGGACTAAAGTGGTTTTATTCGTCGTTCAGTGCGATCAGATATGGAGACAATGAGAGACCCTCCATATTCCCGATCGTGGACCACGGGATCTATCTATCTCTATCCGATGCGAGACTACGTTACTTAAAAGATTGTGCTCGAGAGCAGTAACATGCGAATTGAATGACCACCGTATAAAATTCGCATCCACCGCGACCGCCAGCGGAAGGGGGTGGGATGAGAGGACGGGGGATGATAATGGGCACTCGCCATCCCGATTTCAAGTCCGGCAATCTGTGCGTTCGTAAAGACAATTGGATTTGGAAATCACGCCACTCACCCCGAGGCTTATTAACGCACCCACATTGTTTCAGTAGATGTAAATTCGATTGATGGCCAGCCGATCGCGCAACTCTTTTAAAAAATTTTTTCAGAGATTTTCACGAATATACACGAGCACGTTGAACACATTGAGGAACTGCATCTTAATATATCGGTCTTCTTTATTTTTCAAAATTTATGATGTTTTCATATGTATTGTATAAACGTATATACATACAATTAAGCTTTTATAAGAATTGTTAAAATGAGTTTACATAAAGAAATTTAATTAACATTTTATTAAATATACAATACCTAGTTGTAGTAAAATCTAGTAAAATTTTAGTTGTTTTTAATGAAGCTATTAATTTATTGTATTCATTATTATTGCACAATGCATTATTATATTTACAACGTCCAATCCAAAATAACTTATTACGTAAAACCCACTTTAGACGATTTCAAAATAGAATAATATTTAATATATTATTCTAAGCAATTTAATATATATGTATATATATAATGTATATACCGTGTATTTTGATCTGTCTATTTTAATGTATATTTTATATATTGTGTTCAAATTTTTACTCTTGTGTTAAATGTTTTATATTACGTTTTGAGTTATAGACCATCTAAAATAGGAGTTTCACATAATATATTTAGAACATATCTCACAACGATAGCTAATAAATTGCTGATATAAATTCTTATAAAAAAGCGAAACATAAGGGAAGAAGAGCGCTTTCGTGTATTACGATGAGGCGTGTACTACGATGTAAACGACACCAGCATGGAGAGAAGCATTAATTTGCATCTGCTTTCGTACTCTACCACTTCCGAAAATTTTATTCGCTCGCCGTTTAATTGTGGTATATACGCGAAATAATAAAGTGGAAGTAAAAGGCGGATGTGCGGAAAGAAAAGTGTGCCGGGAGCTTAATACCCCGTGTAAGTAGTAGCCACTGCATTACAGTCAGATTCATTTGCATGCACTTTTACATCCTTCCGTCCTCAAAAAATATTTATCGCCCGAGGTTTCACCGTGACGCCTCGCTTATGAATTATGCATGTGAAGCACGCGCGCAGGACGTAGCTCATTCCTAGCGCAATTTCGCCATTGAAGCGTAATTTCAGCAAGCTCGGGTATTAGAGCCCCTCGAGCAGCTTTTTCGTGATAGTGCTTACGAGGGAGAACGAAAAGACGTGTCATTCGGAACGACGATGATCACCTCAATTGCGTCGAAGAGAAGAGCACCGTGCGTATTAACTTCATGCTACGCCCCAAGTGCGAATATGAATTTTATTTCACACGTAAAAATAACGAAGTGCATCTTCCTTCGCTGTTAATTAGGCGCGCGTTGATACTGTTGCGTTGTGGGATACTTATATATAATATTGGACTTCAAAAATTCTATAGAATACGTCTTTAGATTTAGAATTAATAGCATCTACATATAAAAAAAAAATGTTTTCCCTGACAATAATATTAAAACTATATATTGATTACATTATTTTATATATAGTTATATATATAGTTTTATATACTGTTATATACATAGATAAATGTTATATTGCATATGAAATTTTTCTGAACTTTTGTTTTATATTTTAATAAATGGTAGATTCTAAATTAAAAGATATAATTTTTCTTCCTTATAAGGGAGTGTGATCTCCAAAATTATATTTTGCTCTTTGATCATTTAACACAAATTAGCAATACATTTTCGTCGTATGTAACATTACAAAGCTATAATATATCAGAACATTGTATACCATTGTCAGCACCAGATTTAATGTGACCAAAATTAAATCCGAGATTATACCGATCGAACAGTACGGGTTTAAGTCACCATACAAACAAACGTAGGAGACACCATAGCGGAGAATATGCGGTGGATAATTTATATTTAATTATGTCACCAACTTTTGCAATATATATTCATCGATTACAAAACTGAAACTATATAATTAATAGCGGAATTGAATCGTTATAATCGTTATATAACTCTATGGATTTATATAATTAAAAAATATATATATATATAATTAATATATATATATATATATCGTGAGGTAATTATGAATAATTATGTACCGTTATCTCAACAAAGTCATCTATCACCCCTATTATAAACCAAACCAAGAACGCCAATTTATGTGGTACACCGATATACACGCAGAAACGCGTGTAAATTATTTCGAATAATATTTCTCGACTGAAAAATAAAAGCCTTTATTCTCAATTGGCAAGCTATTAAATTTTAACAATAATATTTTCTTCTTAAAAAGGATTGAGGAAAATTAAAATATACCCTATAAAGTAAAGGTAAAAATATCAAATTAAATAGTCTTTTTGCATGATGATCAGTCATTTTTATTTAATACTACAGAATACTAGAAATAAATACAGCATTATATGATTTTTGTTTATAAGTACAAATTTTAATTTGCATTTAAGAAAAAATTGTATTAGAGACTTTATAAAATTTTTTCAGAATCCGTGTTGCTTTAATAAATTGCTTGCCTCAACCGTTATGCGAAATAGAATTATTGGCAAACAGTTATAACTGTATATATATAACTATATATAATTATATATAACTGTTATAAATGACGATTATTTGGCTAAACCAAAATCGACAATTATTCATGTGTTTTCTCTTTGAGAGATATTATATCGCATAGGACAAATTTAACATTACCAGTAGTAAACGCTGCGAATGTCGACCGACCATTCTGCAGTAGAAGGCAAGCGAAAACAAAGACCGCCACCATCCTCGGTAGGAAATTAAAAGTCATCCCCTTCCTCCTTCCAGCATGTAGCTGCATCACCGATATCCGATTAACAAATTCGATGTCACGAATATAAGATTCGCATTCGCATTCTATCGGTTCACCAGTCGAGTCCCTCCAGTCACTGCCAATTACCCCAAGACGACACTCGCTCCGTTCCTCGGGAGTCCAGCAAGGACAACCGTTAAAGCACTTCTCGCGTTGATTCGAGGGAGCCCCGGTGCGATCTTTCATCAAGAGGACCTGGTACTAGAGCTATGTCAGAATTTTGTAAAAGATTATGTCCTCGCGATGCATCCTAGACGTGTCCCAAGTGAAGAGAGGCGCGATGTCACTTCTTCGTAATGTCAACAAGCGTGTCTTATTTCGAGAAAAATATGAATGCACCGATATTTCTTATCTCTTCTCTCGCGGCAATCGGCAACTCGCGAGATCCTCGCGAGTGTACGCGCGATATCGTAGCGGCGAGTTAACGTCCCTCGTCAGTTACGTGAGGTACCCGGTGTTTCGACTTGGGGCGCGATACGAGAACGGCTCCCAGCAAGTGCGCGCTTGGGACGCCCGGCGTCGACTGGCGTTCATAGAGGTACCAGTAGAACCGGTCGGCGGCACACGCCGCCGTCCCGGCATCACGGCGCAGATCTCTGCCACCCCCCTGCAAGACCTCTCACCCTTTCCTGAACCAGGCCAATCGGCGCTTGCGAGTCACCGCCCATCGCGTTGCGAGGGCGGCACCGCGCCCGAATTAAGATTTTCGACTTTTCTTAGTCGGGTCTACTCCCGCCAGCTATCTGTCTATTCTCCTTTTGCTCTCTCTCGCACTATGTTCTCTCAGCATCACGCATTGTCCCCTCATTTGAGAGAGCCTGTCCCCTCTTTCCTCTTCCTTTTTTTTTTCTTTACAGACATTGTGCATACGAGTCGCAACACTGATGGGTTACCCTCGAAGAAAACCACACAAGACGTGGATAATTTGCGTGGAATAATAATTCAAATGTTTATTGTTATATATAAAATTTTTTGTGTGAGGTTTACATGTCATGGGTTGATTTTTTTCTATTTTGGCGAAATGTAGTTAAGAATTAGTGTCAGCTCGGTTTTCGCTGTTTGAAATCTCATTTGAAATGAAACTTTAATCCTACTTTGCAAGAGATATAGTAATTCTACTACATTTTTATATGTTATTTGCTTGTAATGGAATTATAATTTACTCTCTGCGCGCATTTGCCATGAATAAATGTAACATTCATGATCAAAATCGTTTTGCCAATCCCGATTCAGATAAAATTGAAAACAGCGCTCGTGAAATATTGGTATGTTACCTTATTAACGTTAGTGGATAAATAAATATTCCATGAAAAGGCGCGATCGCACACACATAACGTGACATAAATCAAAAGCAACATATATTATCATCAAAAAGTCACTACTCCGCATGTTATATTATAATATTTTATAGAGACATATGCATATACATTTTGCCAATGTCGCGAAAGTATGTAACGGATATTAATTTTATATCGCATCACGTGCATAAAAGAAATTTAAATGGCTCGCACAAGTGGAATATGCAAACAAACGGTAATTGATTTAAAACAATTTTCACAATCTAAGTGAATAGTTGTAAATAACCGAATAAATAAACATCACAAAAAAAACATCGCATGTTTTTAATACATTGTACGCTGTTTTTTTTTTACCCGACTTGCGATTTCTAAACATGACTCTCGCGAGAAAGGTTTGCGCAAAATGTATGGCCCGACCTATCAAATTTCTTTTATTAAATAACAACCCTAGCGTGCAAAAATGGTATAATAGAAACATACGGTCCACGTTTGCCGAAAAGCAACATCGCGGAATGAAACATACGATATACAAGACTGATGAGCACGGTTGATGGTAGAATCATGTAGGATGCGGCTGCAGCGCCATTAGAATAATATCACCCATTCTTTATCAAGAAGCAAGTCGGAGATGTGCCGTGCACTCATTTCACGTGACATTTAATTTTCGTGAAAAATCACCGGTGAGTTTGCTCACACGAAATAGAGCGTAAAACTACCGGGATGAGTTTGGACATACTCTTCCAGATTTCGTGATCTCGCGTCACTCGAAAACGTCCGAATGCGATATCCCGCAAGCGGATAATATCCAAGAATAATATCCGCGTGAAACGTAATCACTGATACGAACAAAAATTACGTTTTTTTTAACGTGAATATTTCATTTTAATAAAATAGTTATGTACATAAAAAATATTAATCATTAAACTATTTTTCAGAATGTTTCATTCTTTATATTTTATGGTGCGACAAATAAGACATTCAATGCGTTTGAGGATAACAAATTTAAAATGCGAAATTGCAAAAATGCTCGTTAATGAAGTCGGTGAATTTTTATCGAGATTTTTATCCTTCGCGTCCTGTGTGCATACGTGTATATGTCTCGAACAAAAATTCGTTTGGAACGTATAAAATAAACATATATCTGTATGAAGAAGTAATTTAAATTCAAATTTTACCGATGTTCATTTTAATGTAATTTTAATCTTGATGAAAGATTGGAATTGTGATGGTAACGCTGCCAAGTTATAAGAGAAAAGTGCATTTAAAATGTTGAATTTTTATATTAATCGGATAGACAACATCACGCATTGAATAATTGAAGCTATAATATTCTACAATAATATTTTATATATACGTATCAATATTATAGGATAATACGATACTTGAATGATAAATCAAATCTGATTTTTACTGCTTTTTCTGCAAAGTATAATAATTTAATTTTTGATAAAATAATACGCATCAAAAAATAAAAGAGATTGCACAATAATAATATTATTAGTATATACATTGTACATACATCTGATATACGTTCAATCTGAAAATAGACATTTTTAATATTATTTTAATAATACAACGTGCTTTTTCCTACGGAAGAAGGTAACTGTTTGAAAATTATATTAATACATAATTCTTCGTCAAAGTATATCAGTACGGCACTACTGACCAGTGCGATCGCATATCATTTCCATGAAAATTTCAGATTAAACATGGCAATTATATTCGGCTCGTAATTATATTTTGCCTTTATCGGCGTTATCTTCGATCCACGTGCGACCCGGTATTTCGTCACTTTGCCTATAATTTTCCAGTATACAATACATTCAGTCTATGATACAGTTTATGTTTGATTTCAAGCATTAGAGAATGGATCGCTTTAATCAGAGCACAATTGCATGCGATATATATATTTGTACCAAAATACATGCACTGAGAAAAAAATCCAGGTCTAAATGATCGGATAATTCATTCAAAAATTAACAAACGGACAATCCGACACTTTCAATTGGAATAATTAAAAAACCGATCAATTATCAATGATATCCGGCCATCATTGATTGGACATTATTCTAATCTTGATCGGCTTTTCATAATTCCGATTAAAAGTATCGGATTATCCGTTTGTTAATTTTTGAACAAATTGTCCGATCATTTATTTCTCTGAGTGTGCGATATTGCAAATGGTATGCATATTCGATCGAAATGAAGTAGATCCTATCTCTAAAACGCTATAATAAAAGATATAAAAGAAGATTATATAACAAAGTAAAATATTACAAGCACTATCTTTTGTAGCCCTGATAATAGTTACATGTATGCATGTACGTGAATCTTGATTATAAAATGCAATTGCATATTTTTTTAAATTAAATTCTTATATTTTTAATACGTTTATTGATATATTTCATAGCTTTTGCACATTTATATCTTTTAGTTATAGATTTCTGTTGTTTTCAATTTTCAAAGACCTTTAAATTTGAAAGAAAGAACCCCGCACAAAAACCTATGGAAATGGGTTCTCGGCGAATTTGTCTGAAACTTTGGGAAAATGTTGTTCATGTCATCTTAATCAAAAGTTCTCATGGCAACAACTCTCTTTAAAGCAGAATTTTTGCTCCAGGAGACCTCAAAGATGGATATTTTATCACGCGATCACAGATGACTTCACCCATTCAGCTTTCAGAATAATGATTGTGTGTGTTTGTGTGTGTATTGCATAACCCATCATAAAACCCGAGGACAAAATCGGTCCTTTTCAGGGCCATAATAATGTGCAAAATCCGATCGCGCGACGCGCAACCTTCTTGCGGTGCACATTGGATAACGCTAATGCCGACGGTTCACACTGTTATTACTGTTATTCATCAATACATTAGGTTATTAGGTTTTATGGGTTATGCAATACACACACAAACACACACAATCATTATTCTGAAAGCTGAATGGGTAAAATCATCTGTGACCGCGTGATAAAATATCCATCTTTGAGATTTCCTGGAGCTAAAATATTGCTTTAAAGAGAGTTGTTGCCATGAGAACTTTTGATCAGGATGACATGAACAACATTTTCCCAAAGTTTCAGACAAATTCGCCGAGAACCTATTTCCATAGGTTTTTGTGCGGGGTCCTTTGTGAAAAAAAGTGCAACTGCAGCTGCATATCAATCCTCTGCGAATAAACGACCTTTAGGTCAGCGAATTTGAAAAATGGTTGTACAAACCGCGAATATATAATAGAAAAAAATGTTTGCATATGGGGTAATTTTGAACATAGAAAAAATGCATGGATATACTAGTTCATATACTAGTTTATAAATAAAATGTTATTTATGTTATTATAAAATAATAAAAACATTTGTCTAATTAAAACATCTTGCAATAATCTTTCCAATAATCTTTTACAATAAAATTATTCCGAAGAAAATAAGACCTATAAAAATACTAGTTTCTTTTATCCACTATGTGAAACGCTCGAATAAAAAATGTATAATTATGGTGCTTCGATCGCGCGTATCAATGTATTCTTTATGATATATGAAGGATATGTCATCATCACATGCGTCTAGATATTCGTAGAAAGTTTTCTTAATAAACAGCCAAGAGAGACCCCGCGTTGAAAGTTCGAGAACAAATAAAAGCAGCGCAGGAGATCAAGCGGATATCCGGCGGAACGAAACGCAGACGTCTAAAAGATGGAAGACGGAAGAGAGCGGGGCTTTCATTACCTTGATGTAAGTTTTAGGCGCGTCTAGGCTGATCCGCAGACCATCTCCGAGCGGAAAGAAGATAAACCGTCCCATCGTTATCAACAGCCAGAGAGAGACTACGCCGTTCCCATCCTTCGAATCCATCCTTAAAATCACCGCTTGCACTCCCTACCTCACGTCCTTATCAGCGTTATTAGTTATCTTCACATCTTATTCCGCGAGCCAAGATTGACATCCTGGTTATCGTCCGAGGAATTTTCCGTAAGAACAATTAACCGACCCTGTCGGCTCGCGCTGCGAGTCTGGTACTTTCATCGTTAAGCGAAACTTCCGCCCTTACACGAGAACCTGCGATATCTTTAGTCAGTGCTACAAGATCATGAGGATCATGAGAACCGCGCGAGACCGCACGAGAGATTTCGTTAATAATATCTGGATTACGAAAATCGGAGATCCTTCACGTGAGATACGCGAAGCGACTACGAATGGCGCAATTTGGCAATCGGGAAAATAAA